TTTGGTCTCACATGAAAAATAGGTTTTGAGTAGTTGACCAAACACCACCCCCACCCCAAAAGTATTTAAATATATATATATATATATACATTAATTTATATTACACAAAAAAATTATTTAAATTATTTAAAAATGGAATTAAATATTTTTAAAAATACTTAATTGTATTTTTATTTATTTATTTAATTTAATTTATTTTTTTTTGAGAGAGAATTAAGAGTTGGATGGTCTTATCACATAAAGTTGAGTGCCATTTTACTTGGATCACGGCATTAGCCCGTGACGTCCGCCTCCCGCCGCTGAAAGTCCACCGGCTATATCCGGTCAAAACCTCTCCTTATTATTTTCGGGCTTGTCTTCCACTTCCCAACTAGTGTTTTGACCTCCCTTCACTCTCCTTACACGTCACCTTCATTTTCTCCACTCGCACTATAGCGCGTCATCCCCAAATTCCAGCTATTTGATTTTTTTTTTATTTGTAAAAGTTTTAGTGTGGTCAAATCTTTAATAATTTGTTAAAATTTTAAAATATTATTTTTCTTATTTATTTAATTTAATTAATACATCATCTTGATATCTTTTTTGAGTTTCAAAATACCTAAATATAAATAATAAAAATATTTTAAATAAATATTATATACGTTTTATAAAATAATACCATTTATTCTTTACATTTATTTTTTATTTTTTTAATAAAAAAAAATATATATTTACATAAGATATATTCTTAATTCGTTAATTTTTAAGGTTTAATTTTTACTAGTAGTACCCAAAGAATATAATCTTAAATATATTAAGTCAACATGGAAAAATGGATAGTTATAATTTTTTAAATGAATTTAATTTAAAATTATTTAATCTCAGTACATAAATATTAATATAAGAATACTTTTATTATTATTAAAATGTAACATTAATTAGAAATTAATTCAAAAAATAATTGTTTAGAAATAAAACAATGAGAATAGTTAATTAAAAATATAAATTATAATTTAAAGCTTAATTATAGTTTAATAAATTAATTAATTTTTTTTTAAAAATGCAAGTCAATATTTATATTTTGGAATATACATTAGTGTTAGTCTAAATAAAATAATTATAAAAGCTAAAATCATCATTAAATCACACAAACACATATACATATATATATATATATATATTGTAATTAGAGTGAAAATCAAAGACTTTGGTGCAATTAATTCTTAATAAGAAGAGAGGGCGAGTTCATTTCACGCGCAAATTTGGGAAGTGGGATAATGTAAAGCTTCGTAGTTAGAAGGCACCAACATCAAACTCCAAATCTCATCATGTGTTTGTTTTTTTTGGGGAGGGAGAGAGAGAGAGAGAGAGTAAAGTGAAGACAAAGGTAGGTATTTGACGAGCAGAGGACAAGCTCTGAGTCTCTCTCCCTTGTATTCTACTACACACCTCTGAAAACCCAATATATATATATATATATATATAGTTATTAAACTCGAGACTTTAAAAGCATTCAAAAACCCAAATCAAATTTTTCCAGAAAAGTCAGCTCCCGTGTCCTCATTTCAAATCACTAGCAGCTGGGTGTTTGTTTAGTCCAATAAAATATGGAGTAGATTCTCAAGAAAGAGAAAGAACTTTCCTTTTCTGTTCTATGTTTCCTGTGTCCTTGTCCCTGCTCTTCCTTTGATTTGAAATACCTACTCTCTCTTGTCTTTACATTTTTTTGTACTCTGTTTTTTTCCTCCGGAAATCTAAAGGTGGTGGAAGAGAGACGTCTGGTTTTGAAATTGGAGAGGACCCATTTGTAGAAAAAGTGGTGCCTGTTGATTTCGGAAACTTATAAGTGAATATATTGGTAGTGCTAGTGAAATTTCCATGATTCTGAGGCATTTGGGTTTTTCACAGTGCCTTTTTTTTTTTTCCTCATCTTGCTTCGGTGTTGGGATCTGATTTTTTTTAAAGATTCCTCTATTTTCTTCTGTCCAGTTTGAATATTTTTCTAATTAATTCTGCTTCTTTTGAGAGTGCAAATGTGTTCATAGATGTGGGTCTGAATTTTCTTCATCTGGGTCCTTTTCATTCCTTTTATGTTTGGATTTCAACATCTAGGGTTTTGGGTCTCTTGATTTCTCAGGGAAGGTTTTGGTTTCAAGTAGGGGGGGAGGGTGGTCTAAGATCTCAGCTCGTTTTATGGTAAGTGCTAGTTGCTTTACTTGCAAGTTGTTGTTGGTTGGGATGTGAGTATTTAAGTTCTTATTTTCCCATTTGTGTCTGCATTTACTCTCTTTCCTTTTTCCACAAGGCCTCCGTCTGCTGTGTTCATTAAATAGCTTCACGTTTAACTGTATCTGGGTTGCTTAATTTATGGTCTCGGGATTTGATTTTTCAGGTGTGGATTGGTGCTATCTCAATTTTATTGCTTCATTTTCAAGTTCTTTTTCTTCCTTCATGAAGCTGTTTTGGGATGTGAATTTGTGATTTTCTTTTCTTCTTCTACTTCCATTATTGTTCTTCTGGAAAGCCGTGGATTCCCAATTTGACTGTCAGATTGAAGAAAAATTTTCATGGTGTTGTCAGCTGTTGTATAGTTGGAAAAGTTCTTCTTCGGTTACAGTAATGGTGGCTCTGGATTTATTTCCAATAACTTTTCTCAAGTGGGTTTTCTTTGCTTGCTTTATTTATTCATCTTTGAGCCTGGAATCCCCAACTCAAACTTGCCATCCAAATGATCTTTTAGCACTTACAGAATTTGCTGGAAACCTTACAAATGGTTCCATCATCACATCATGGACAAATGCATCCCTTTGCTGTCAATGGGATGGTGTTTTATGTGGAAATAAGAGTAATGGCTTAGTTGCTAATAGAGTTGTCATGTTGGTTTTGTCTAGAAAGGGTCTCGAAGGTGCGATTTCAAGTTCTTTGGGCATTTTAGACCAGCTGGAAATTCTTGATCTTTCTTGCAATCGACTCCATGGAGAATTGCCCGCTGAGATTTCCAATTTGAAGCAGCTGAGAGTTGTTGATTTGAGTCAGAACATGTTGTCTGGACAGGTTTTGGGATCATTTCCTGGTTCACAATCGATCCAGTCATTGAATCTCTCTAGCAATTCATTCGATGGGGATTTAGTGGAGT